TGCTATCACGCAGTGTACAAACTACTCTATAGTCACAGGTTTGGGTTTTTTTTAAATGTGGCAAAGGAGAAAACTAAATTATACACCAGTAGTTAAAATACTGTAGCAGAAGTCAAACTTTTAAGGTAAATTTCTCCCTGCTTTCCAAGACTTAATTTCATCCACGTGACATACTGAGGGTACACTAGACCCCTCAGCACTGAAGCAGCACATCAAATGTTATAACTGGGAAGACAAGTGTTCAACTGTGTTGACACTGAGCCAGAAGAGAAGACTTAGCTCATAGGTCGAAGTTCTTTAGGTTCCTGTTAAAAGCAATAAAATTTACTCCACTAACTGGCCTAGAAAACATCTAGCAGAAACTGTTTGAACACCATCCCACGAGTATGGCTGGTTTTTTTCACAATGCACAGGGAAATTATGCTGGAGATAAGGACACTGTAGAGAAATACCTTAAACAGATCAGCACAGACAAAGGGACACCTGGCATGAACACAGAGTTTTCATTGACTTCTATTTCTATTTAATGTAAATCTAAGGACAGGACATAGACCAGAAGTATATATACACTTTAAGATACAGTCAAATTGCAATCTTTCTAATTCCCTATACATAGCAATGCTAATAATTTCTTAATATCTTAAGTTCATATCTTAATATGAACTAAGTTTTCCTTGCTGTAAATCAAGATAATTTCTCTCTAGTGAAAATAAATGCCTTATTGCTATTACGACAGCTTTTAACTCTTCAGAATATTCAGGAATATACTCTGTCCTAATTGGAATCGAGTGCCGTTCAGCATTACTGCTGTATGCTGTCACTTAGAACACCTAAAATGCATATACCTGGAAAGCTTCTGTTTTCCCCTATACTCCCAGGTTGTTTTAAGGTATATGCAAACTCATTTTCTTCAGATGTTTTCCTCAAACATCACATTTCTTGAGTCTATTAAAATTGTTGTTCCTCTTTCCAGATTGCCCAAAGCACTTCAAAAGACTTCTTAAAAGCTGGACATAGTACTCCATCTAAGACCCCAACAACCACCTTTTGGAGAGGGGAATTTTTCTACCCCTACTACTGTTACAGCCGCAAACATAACTGAAAATTACTGAGACAAAGTCTTACTAAGAAGCAACATAGTGATCCACAAGATGTGGGAAAAATAACCCAACCAATTTAAATATTTCTGTGACTTACAAGAGAATTCACATTACCAGCTTATTCTGGTAACCTTGAGTCACTTTATAAAGGGTCTTCAACATACAGATCTCCTTAAGAATTACAGAAATACCAGACACTTAATTTGACACTTATCTGTAACATTTAGTTGTATTCTTTTTTTTCCTTCCTAAGGAAGGAAATGTCTCTTTCATTGATTAGAAGTTAAGAACAGGGACTCAGAAGCCATATCGAAACAGACTACTCTATACATCTCATCTATTGCAGTTCCACAGAAGCAGGTACCTGGCCTTGTCAAAATAAATCAGACTCCCTAAGGAAGATCTATAGACACAAAAGAACAAATAAGGAGAGCATTCAGTCTGTAATTGGGCTTCCTCTATTTATACTGTCATTACAGAGTATGAAAAATCACTGGACAGTGATTTGAGGCACTTGAACCAAGGTAGTCAGGTCACTCTTCAGTATGAGGAGCTTTCATACCAAGAAAATTCAAGTTAAGGATCCCAAACATTAAGATAGCAGTCATTAATGGCCCAGTAATAGAAAGACAGGGATCTGCCTAAATTATTCCATCTCTGTAATGCAGTTTGTCCCAGGGTCGAACAATAGCAGCTCCATCATCTTAGGACCAAAATGTAAAATAGTCTAGGACTTGAAGAAAAAAAAACAAAACCTCACACTACAAATATGAAAAACACTTTTATAAAAACGAAGAAGTTACTTGCAATGCACAGTATCCTCTTACTTTGCTAGAATGAGCTCGATTCAGACAACACCTCAAATCTTATGACACCATCTGGTGGCAGAGTTCACAGAAGACAATGACCAGATGTTAAGAAGAGCTTTAACAATTCAAATGTGACTCTGAACAAATTTAAATTTGATTCCTGATATGTTATGAATTTTGTCTTTACAAGATAAAGCGGAAAGAAAAATGATGGAAAAATACCTCCATTTTACCTAGATAAAGTTATCTACAAGTCGTAGTACCTCTGTACACAATTTGGTTATGTATTTGTAGGATCATGATTGTTGTCATTCTTTGCACTGGATTTACAGTCCTGCACAAAGTAAGATGCCTTTACCTGGCATCTCTACAAACGTGTGGCATTTTTGGACATATGGACTAGAAGGAACCTGAAGATTGGTCACAGTAACCAAACTGACTCAAGTAACAGACAAATACAGTTCAGCTAAAACCAAGGACTTGTTCCAAATTGAAAATGCCAGAATATAGCATGTATTTAACTACGTTTACATTCAAAAATCAGTCATTAGTGGAACATACACAGTGGTGAAAATGTAGCTGCCTTGAATTGCCAGTTCAGCTGAAGTCAAGCAAGGACTTAAAAAAAAAGCTAATACAGTTGCCTTTAATGGAAGAGACTTCAGGATAGGAATCTATTTTCCAAGGTAAGAAGTTACAGAGCCACATCATATTGGCCCTTAGAGCCATCAGTAGTAATCCCAAATATTGCAGTGCTAATGAAGATATACTTTCAAACTTCAGCACAGCTATTAACCAAATTTCTGGAAGGCTTAAACCGTCTTTTTTTAAGGCTAGGATCTATGAGTTCAGCAAAACAGTCAGCTAGCTTAATGTAGTAACTGAGGTTTAACTAAAAAAGTAGCAAATAACAAAAGAACAGCAATAACCAGCAAACACATGGGAAATGCAGACCCAGGAACTCATGTTGAAAACAAAGTCCAGGAAACATCAATCCTCTTCTCTCTCAGGTCATGCCTCAGAACCCATTTGTTCATTAAAGCTGGACTTCAGCAAGGAGGGAAGGTGAAAAGGAAAATTTTTACTTGCATGAGGACATTTTGATCAAACCATTATCAATGAGGATACTACTATTTATACTGAGGTATAAACTTGAATCATCAATGCCAGCACCATCCCATGTTTCATAAACTTTTATGAACTAAAGTTCATAAGCACCCCTGAACAGCTCAATATAATTTAAGTTTGCATGTGAACTACCCTGCTTGCAACGATGAATGATCACATGATACCTCATGTTTCATCGTACAGTTAAGGCTTGTTTCACACTATAAGTCGACTTCTTTTAGGCTACTAGATACTTATCACCACATTCATACATGCTTTTACTTAGACACATTTTTTTAGCTGTATGCTATGAGGAAGGTAACTAAGCCATTCTACATAAAGCCACAGTTCATCCCTGGAAACGCTGCTGGCAGGTACGAAGAGACCGCACGGCAGTTCCACATCTGTAACAGAGATCCTGGTGTAACAAAGCTCGGGTTTAGCAGGATAACAAAGTTCGGGATCATTGCAGCACTACAGGATGCTCACCAGGCAAAACAAGGAGCACGCCCGCCCCAAGGCAGATCCCTGCTGTCGCAGCCTCTCCAGGCCGCGTTAACCGCGTTGCCCCCCCCCCCACCCCCCCCCCCCGCTAGAACCGGAGTGAACCCCACCACCCCCGGCCGCCGCTCCCCGAGCGCTTTGCTCCGCGCAGCCCCGGTACTCACAGTTCGCACCCCTGGCCAGGGGAGCGGCCCGGCAGCCCATCGCCCTGCGGCACCGCGGAGGCCCGACCCGATTGCCCCGGACCCGCCGCCTGCTCGGACCCGCGCCGGGCCCGCCCCGCACAGACCCGCGCGCGCGGCGGGGCGGGGATACGGCCCGCACAGCCAATGGGCTGGCGGCCTCGCTGCACGCCGGGAGGCACGTCTGCGTGCCCGCAGGGCCTGCCGGGAAGTGCAGTCCTGGCAGCGCGGGAGCTTCGCGGCGAAGGCGGCGGCACTGGGGCCAGCTGCGGGCATTTCGCAACCCATAATGACGTTACTGCTGTTGTATGTAAATACAGCGCTGTAAACACGCATACTGCCACGTGCTGCCGCTCTAAAAAGCAGGCGCCGAAGCCTGCGGTTACCTCAGCAACGGAGAAGCCACGAACATCGTGCTGGGCCGGCCCTGCCAGGGCGTCTGCGTCCGGGAAATCTGCTCCAGGGGTGGTTTGGAATACAGGAGGACAAACGGGCTCGTGCTCGCGTTTTGCAGCGTACAATAACCTTACTCCACTGGGACTTTTTGTGAAGCCAAAGTCCGCAGGAGCTCAGAACATCCCGAGATGCTCCGAGAGGGAGAGGAGGGAAACCAAGGGCCTGAGATCGCAGCAGTTTCACTGGCAGAGGGACCTTGTACAGGCTCAACGAGCCGCGTAAGCTGCTGCGGCCCCGGTGCTGTGAGAGCTCTCGGCAGTACTGGCAGTGCTTACAACCTTACAGCAGGTACGGGATCCGACAGCAACCTGAGCATCCACACCCGAGAAGGAATACATCTTGGGAAAGGCTGCCCGGTCCAGCTAGAAAAGATGAGGTCTGTGACTGCCAACAGCAGCTTTCTCTTTCTGCCCTCGTTCTCTCCGCTGGTGACAGAAGAGGGTTGACACGCATCGTCCTAATAGAGAGAAACTTAACTGGAGGAAAAGCCCCGCTGATACAAACAGGGCTATTTCTGTACCGCGCTATTTGCTAACGCATCTCCGCTCAGCGCGGCCGGACCGCGGGGCACCGCACGGACGGCACACACTCCACACACTCTGCATGGACGCGGCGCACACTCCCACACCCCGCATGGCACACCCCGCATGGCACACCCCGCATGGCACACCCCGCATGGCACACCCCGCAAGGCCCGGGGCGGCGCTCATGTGCCCCAGCCCCGCCTGGCGCCATGAGGGGTGTACCGAGGGCTCCCGCGGCAGCGGCTGGTTCCCGCCGCCATGTTGGGAGTGGCGGATGGGCGGTGCCCGCCCTCGCTTCCGGGGGCGGGGGCGGCGCGCGCGGGCCGGCGCTCGGCAGCGGGGGCGGGCGGGACATGGGACCTTAAAGGGGCGGCTGAGCACGGCCCAGCCCGGCTCGGCTCGGCTCGGCGGGAGGGAGCGGCGGCGGTGCCGGTAGGTGTGCGGCGGGGTGGGCTTTGCTAGCTCGCAGCGCCCTGGGCAAGGCGGCAGCCGGGCGGATCCGGTCCTTGGCCGCTTTCCTGCCGCGTAGCGCCCTGAGCGGGGCGGGCGGGGGCCTCTGTGGGCCGAGGCGGCCCTTGCCCGGCCGCGCACGCCCCGCGGTTGCCGGCCGGTCTCGCCTGCGCGGAGTAAGGGGGCGGCCGGGACACGGCGAGGCCGGGGGCGGGCCCGGGCCCTCCAAGCCCCCGCCTCAGCCTTGGGCTTCGCCCGTCCCCTCGCGTGTGGGGAGGCCTTGCGGGCTCCCCCCTGCCGGTGGTTTTTATTTGCTTGGCGAGAGCCTGCGAATTGAGCTGTTGATAGGATACAGGAGAAAACCCACCCATTGCTGCGTCTTCTTAAACCTACATTGTGCCCGGCTGCCTTTGGACTCAGCCGTAATATGTTGTACGTAGTACGTAGTAATCAAAAAGCATCGAATGTAACCTGTGTTTTGGTGCGTCCCTCAGCTGTACGTCTCGATGCCCTTGGCGCTTCTGGGAAGCTAATAAGAGTCAGCTTTATTTTTCACTTTTTTCCCCCTCTTTTCACTTTCTGTTTCACACAAGAAGGTTATCAAATCAATACACATGATTTGACAACCTAAGTAAACGAGCTTAAGAAACTTTGGAAATTTCTTTATGCAACTTCTGTAGCTATTTACCTTCCTCTTTTTTGCTCTCTCAAAAAGGGCAGTAGATGCTCAGTGTTCAGAACTAAGGATGTTGTTTTACTTCCCCTTCATAAACAAACCTGATCCTGTGCTGTAGAGAGAACAGCTATGTAGGGAGGTGTATAGGGACAAAGGGAAAGCCTCCTATGGTATTGACTGATGGACTTGAGCAGTTAATTGCTTGCTGACATTCTAGTAACAAATGCCTGACCTCAGCTCTGCAGTTTTTGAACTAGGTTACTATACAGCACAGTTCGTGTCATTAGAAGAAATGGAATCTGTTACTGTCTGTATGTGAATCAAAGTTTGACTGTAAATTTCTGTTGGCCAGTAACTAATTTGGAGGAGGTTTCACAAGGTTTTTCCAGGGACAAAAATGAGTTGTTGAGACGAGTCTAGAACTGAATACACTGCACAGAGGAGGTGGCATTGCTCACGCCTGTTCTTTGTGCTATCGCCTCTGTGCAGTGTGTTCAGGAAGCTGATAAGAAAGCAGGAAGCATGCTCTGTAGTGTCCTGTTCTTGGGCCCTGGCCTCTTCCCCCAGGGTCACAGATGCTTTATTCATTTATCTTGTAGGCATAATCATGTGGAGGAGTACATTCTGGTGCTGATACCTTGTGCTACCCTGCTGTTATCTGGGCTGAATTTCAGCTAACTAACAAGTAGGATAATTGCTTGTGTTAAGGAAGAGTTTTTAAAAAAACAATAACTATATTAGTGATGATGAATTTGAAAGAAAAGCCTCCAACCCTAAACACAAAGGTACCTAGCTTGTAAACTGTTTAATTTTTGATCTTTGCAAGCGTGTACATACATTTCATAATTAACATTCATGTTTCTAAGAATATTGTTTCATGAATTTTTCTGTCTTTTGGTGAAGCCAACAGTTTGCTTTATAAGTGAAAGAACTGAGAGCATCTACTCACCTGAGTCTGTACCAATTCGCTGATGGCTAAAAATACAACTCATGGGATTCTGGCTTTCAGTCAGTTGCTGCAACAGCAGGGTTGTGTCATCACCTAGCTCCTACCTTTGTGATAAAATGACATAGGCTGCGTTTCTCAATCGTACTTTTAGATGTACTGGATAGTAGCTATTCTTTTTTTCCCTGGTATGTATATGAAACATCCCATGAAAGAATTAGTGAATTGGGAATTGTAGGGGTTTTGGTATTCTTAATAGTGGCTTATGTTAAAAGGGTAGAGTACAAGTATTACTTTCTCTTTCTTCTGAAGTGAAGAGATAGTCAAATACTTTTATTTGGAAGTAAAAAGGGTAGGTTTCTTTGATATCATGAATTTATAAAAATGATTAGCCTTAATAAGCCTTATGGTTTTGATATTAAAGAGATAATCTTCTACCAACTTTCAGTTCTCACAACTATTGTCTTCCGTGGCCAAAAGTATTATGTTGATTTCTTCTTCTCTCACTTTACTTCCTACTCACAAGAAAATTGTGGATGCCTTACTTATTCTCCCTTTGGAATCAAGACACAGTCTGCTGTGTGTTATTGATGTTACCAAAACATCTTCAGCAGAAAAAAACCTGAAGTGCACAACAATTTGTAAACATTTGTGTTTAGCTTTTAGTTTAGAGTTATTGGTGACGGAGGAAGAAAATTTTGTGATATTGATTAGAAGCGTATCTTCATAGCAAAGGGACTGGGTTCAAATAGAGGACCCTCAGATGGTGAGTAAGGGATCAATTTATGATATGTAGCAAATGTGGTGGATATATGACAAATTTCTGAAAGGTATTCCGCCTGTCAGAGGCACAAAACTGCTGCTTGTTGCAGATCTTCAGCCAGAGATGCAAGACAAAAGTCTTATCACTCAAGGTGGTTATGTGAAAGTGCATCAGACCAATAAATTGTTTCGATTGCTTGCAAGTCGACTTGTCGCTTTTGACAGACATGGACTGTGTAACTGGAGTTGAACAAGCACTTTATTAGGTCTTGTGGTGCCCTGCAGTTAATTTAAATTCATAAAGACCAGTAAGGGTTTTGAGTGCTTTGGATAGCACAGCCTGAATGCGTCATGACTATCATAAAGAAAGGAAATAAGTTTTCTTTTTTCCTAGAGCTAATGAGCATTAGAATTTCTTCTCAACTAGTGCTGAAGAAAAACGTGTTCAAGCAGCATGTAAATGGCCTACTATAGTTTTTAATACCTTGGAAGTGTATCATAAGCCTAAGAAGATTATTGGTATTGAAAAACCCTTGAAAACACTGTGCAGCCTCACTGTTGTACTGGCCTTTGGAACTCGTTTACATTGGAAACTGAGTGTGTTGGCATAAAAAGCTAGCTCCAGTTTGCAAGTAATTCCGAATGAAAATGAAAACACTTGAAGGAAAACCCTTAGTGGTAGAGAGGAGTATCTTAGCCCAATGAGAGGGACAACAAAAAAAAATTCGTGTTAATTTTTACTGTGTGATCTGGGAAGGTGAGTGGCCAAGATGAATCATGTTGTTGCTGGCTGCATAAAACAGTACTTGGATCTTGAGAGTCTGTTAGTTCAAATGCTTTTTTTCCCCCCCAGAGTTTTTAATTTGCCTATTTTCAGGAAACCCAGCCAGTGAGCTGCTGTTGGATGAAGTGATACTGCCTTGGCTTTCTGATCACAAGCAGATATTTAGACTTGAAGATGTGTACATGCAGACAGTAGGTCACTGTGGGTATTGCTAACACTGAATTCGCTGCTATTGCACTATGAAAGTTATGACTTGGCAGATGTTAGCTCTCAGTTCAATAGTTGGAGTTGGGACAGAACTCCGATTCGACACTTATGACTGATCCACCTGAAATGTGTCCATGTGAGCAGTGCTTTTCCCAAGCAAAAATTTGCCCCATCTTCTCACAAGACCACCCTACTGCTAATGTAGATATAACCATAGCTGACATCACTCTGTGTCACTCTCCAGTTTTTTCAAATTAGACAAAGAACCTACTAAAATGCTTCAGCTGCTATATGGGTGTGTTGATAAACCGAATTAAGATCTCTAAGCCAGAGATGCTTTAAATGGATCTGGCACCGTACCAAAATCAGCCCAAAAGTGCTTGTGATGTCCCTCATTCTTTTGCAGGAAATATCTTGTTTTCTTTTCCTTGGCCATCTCCAACCTAAGAACTTAACATAGGAGGATGAATTGAAAGTTTTTCACGGTTTTTAGAGGTATGACTAAATGCAGAGTAAGTGGAAAAAATGTATGTGCAGACATAAATCTACTTTCATTTAGCTCACTGTTCCTCTTGTCCAAGAGATAGAAGTAGCTTCAGTCTAAACCATCCTCAGCTGGCTTGGGCAGTAATACCATAACTTTAAAATGCATTATAGTGGTGAGCTTGTGGGGTGGCTTAGCCTAACAGGAGTTATGAAGAGATAACATTGTGGTTGGAATTGGGATTTCAAGGAACTTTTTCTGCCCTCAGGATCTCCAAAATAAAACATGGCATAAAATCAGATTATTATGATTTGCAGGCCATGCATTTATTTCCTTGTTGCTCTTGTTTCACAATGAATCTTCCTTTTTTTTTAGGGCAGTGAGAGTTACGATTATTAATGTGTTGTAGTCTTAAATTTCCTGGTAGAAAAGTTTCATGAGGCCCATTACTTCATGAAGATGTATTTTTGTAGCAAGTTTAGTTTTGCATAGTCTGTAGGTGCCAGGCCTTCCTATGTAAGGGGCAGAGGGAGAGTTGTACTGAAATGCGTTTAACTTTAATCCTTGCAGGTTGGTAACTGAGTAAATACTGCAGAATACTTTTTGATAATGAAAAGTAAATACAGCTGACATCACATCCTTCTTCAAAGGAGTTTTACTTTGTATTTAGGCACATTAATTACTTGTTTAAAACTTGCCAGTCTGGAGAGAAAATAAACTAAAATATCAGACTGTTGTTCCATTATAATTATGAAGTCTCATTTTAGGCTGTCCTCTTTTTTCACGTTGGTTACTTTGTGGCTAGGATTTTTAAAATGGAAGGAGAGGAAAAGCAAAGCAAATAGGCATTGAACATGGATATTTAAATAAATGCTTGCCTTGGCAATTATAATAAAAATACATGCTAGGTACACTTTAGCCATATCAAGTTTTTGTCTCTGTATATTTTGTCTTTATTGGTAATCTTAATGCCTTGGATACAGAATCATTTTGTCATATACCATTAACTTAAGAGCTGGATACCTCAATGGGTGCTTTGATTCCTTGGCAGAAAGATGGGCGAATGAGTTTCCTTTGTGTATACTGTGTTCTGTTGGAATAGCTGAGTTGTTGTTTCGATACAAATGATGTCATCTTGGGTGTTGTAACTTCTTTAGAGATATCTTGCAGTGAAGGCACATACTATGTTCAGCTATTCCAATTAGGCATGCAACTATCAGGTGTGTATTTACATCTCTGGAAACAGGCTTTTTTGGAAATGTTTGGTTTCTTTTAAATTACTGTTGTGTGCTTTTTTTGACTGTTTTAAACTGCTGTATGGTGAAAAGTCTTTTTACTGCCTAGGGAATGTCTTTTTCTATTCTGCTTTATGGCACTAATTGCCTCTGCAGAGCTACTGTGCAGGTTATGTGTGGGCTTACAAAAGCAAACTAATGGGAATAAAACTGGCTTTTTGGAGTCTAACGCATTGTGTTTGGATATTCAGTTTTAAACAGAAATTATAATCAAACAAATTCAAAGAGAATGCTTTCTTGAGCCTGTTTTAAGAAGGAAATGCTATCTTGTTTTGCATAGCTCTAGAGACAATGGCTGAAAAGTGAAGGTGAGTAAGCTTGCTGGGAAGTATAGAAAAAGAAGAGTTCTCTCATTGTTTTCAGTGTCATAAGACCTTAAGAAATTATCAGAAAAGACTAGAAAATAACTGTACTCTATTATCCACGATAAAAGATTGTGAGAACATTTATCTCTTAACCAAGTGTTCTGAGTGGTTTTACTTAGCTTCCTCGCACATAGGTCATTTGTCTTTGCAGTTATGTGAAATATCGTTTTAGAGTATGGTTTCGTTTCACAAGAGGTAAAACACTGTGTCCAAATATGAGCATCAGAAGATAAACACATGCATACCTCAGCTTTGAGGAATCCTGGAAGTAACTCTTTTCTCTGTCTGCTATGTGGAAGGGTTTTTTCCTCTACATCTTGCAGCTGTATTTCTTCAGCGTTAGATCAATTTATAAACAGTTTCAAGACCAAATACCATTGATTTAAGGGGAAAGTGGGAGGAGTGCTGTGGTTTTCCATAGAACTTCTTGCTGACTGGCAGTGGAGCTATTCAGGAAGATGTGAGCAAGCTAGGGGAACACAAAGCTTGTCTGTCAGCTGTTAGAACTGGTTTGCTGATGACACAAAACTGGGCGGAGTGTCTGAGACTTCAGAATGCTGTGCAGCCCTTCAGAAGGACCTGGGCAGAGATGAACTGTCTGAAATTCAACAAAGGCAAATGCAGGGTCCTGTGCCCGGGGAAGAATAACCCCCTGTGCCAGTGCAGGCTGGGATCTGACCTTCTGGAAAGCAGCTCTGCAGAGAAGGACCTGGGGGTCCTGGTGGACAACAAGCTGTCCATGAGCCAGCAGTGTGTCCTTGTGGCCAAGAAGGCCAATGGTATTCTAGGGTGCACTAGAAGAGCATTGCCAGCAGATTGAGGGAGGTGATTTTGCCACTCTACTCAGCCCTGATGAGGTCACATCTGGAGTCCTGTGTCCAGTTCTGGGTTCCTCAGAACAAGAGAGATATGGAGCTCCTGGAGCAAGTCTGGTGGAGGGCAACAAAGATAATTGAGGGACTGGAGCATCTCTCATACGAGGAAAGGCTGAGGGAGCTGGACATGTTCAGCCTTGAGAAGAGATGACTGAGAGGGGACCTCATCAATGTCTGTAAGTGTCTGAAATGAGGGTGTAAAGAGGAAGGATCCAGGCTGTTCTCTCAGTAGTGCCAAACAATAGGACGAGAGAAAATGGGCTGAGACTGATGCACAGGAAGTTCCATCTGAATATGAGGAAGAACTTCTTTACTGTGTGGGTGACTGTGCACTGGAACAGAGTGCCCAGAGAGGTGGTAGAATCTCCCTCACTGCAGATATTCAGAACCCTCTGGATGCAATCTTGTGCAGTGTGTTTTTGGGATGACCCTGCTTGAACAGGGAGATTGGACCAGATGACCCACTGTGGTTCCTTCCAACCTTACCCTTACTTCTGAACTTCTGTGATTTGGTGGCAAATACTTGTGTTTTCAAGCAATTGTCTAATGTCAGATACAACTTCAGACACTTTCTGGTTTAGTGTGTTACTGTTATCTTATTTGTGTCAAAAATGGATTGGTAGTTCCTCTGCCAGCTACCATAAATAGGACAAAGTTGAGCAGGAATAGTTTGATAGCTAACAGTACATGAAGTAGCTCTTCATGTGATTATGTCTCTTCAGGTAATTACTACCGTATTTCAGCATGGCATTATCTTTTGTAGGACTTTATTAATAAGATCACAGTTGTCAAGCCCAGAGTTTAATTTAGTAGAGTCTGTGAGCTTCGGTCTTGAAGTTAATTCATAATGTCGTGAAGTTACCATCCAAACTGCACTACCTAGTGTTCTTAGTGTGGTAGTTGGAAGTGCTGACTGCTGTTGTCTTCCTTCTTTTTCAGCCTCACTGCTAGTTTGTTTTTCCAATGGTTTCTCCATGAACATGTGGTTCTAGTAGCACAGCGAAATGTTCTGGCAGTACTGAATAAAACACAAAACTCAGTATCTGATTAAAAAGTATACACAGTTTCTTCAGATTTCGGGTGTTTTATTGACATGAAGGTAGTAGTATAATGCATTTGCAACCAACTGTTCGAAGGTAGGAGTCTTATTACCCTTTAAAGACTTATTTTATAAACAAATCCTTCTTATGTATTGTTTGAGAACATTATTGTCATACCCTTACCTCAAAAGTCAAGAAACTGTTGTACTGTGTAGCATTGGCTGCAATATGGCTCTTGGGTAACTCAAAGACAGTCTGTAGGGTTACACTGTACATCCAGCAGTTGTGCTTGTGCTGGCATGTGAACTTTTGGGTAGCTTGAATCCACAGCTGTAAGGGGAAGCAGGACACTAGGCTGCTGAAAAAGAAATCCCAGATTGCTCTGAGAATACAGCTGCATTTCCGGCCCTGTTCTGCAATCACAGTGGGACTCCTGAGAAGCTGTTGTACTCATGGGGCGTGGATGTGATACTTGTTTCAATATCCAAGATGAGACGTGTTCTGTGGCTCCAAGCTGCAATCAGTACTTGACTGGTGGTACCCATGGTAGGGGAAAGCAGGCCAAGCCTGCAACAATTACGGTAATCCAGATATTGCTTGTTCAATGCAACTATATAATTGAAATTTCCTACTGTTTCTGAATATTGAGTGCAAGATCTTCATCCAAAGAACCAGCTTGATGTCATTTTCCTGTGCTTAATCTAATTCAGTGAAAATAGGTCCTTTCCTCCCTGTCCCTGGTTTACTGGTCCTTAGCTGTGCAAATCAGCTTGAAGGGCATTCCCAAATTCAAAGCTGGGACTGAGCTGCCTGAAATGAACTTCATGAAAGGAGCTTAAGCCTTTGAGTGAAAAGATAAGTCACTGATTACATACTGAATTTGGACTACTGCAACCAGAGCTATTAGAGGCCTTATGTGATAATATCTTGATTTTTTTTTTTGTAATGGTGGCAAAAACTAACTTGTTTTGACAGCTACTTCAGAAAAATCTCCTAGAGCCATAGTCTCAAGCTGGGTGCTAGGTGCTAAAGACCGGACCTGCTGAAATATTTTTTAAATACTGAAGTACTTCAGCTGTAAGTGATTTAGGTGTCTTGATTTCAGTTTGCTCTCGAAGGTATGCACACTTCTTTGAAGAGCTGTGAACAGTATCCATTCTCTAGTAACAGCTGAGTGAATCTGCATAAATTTGCCCTTCTAGGAGCAGTTACTAATGTTATGTCTTCTAAAATACTGGACTTGTAGGGAAAACTGGAACACAGTTCTGTTAGTCAAGCAGAACTTTTGAAATTATATCAATGGATAATGTGGAATTAATTAGAAGCTACTCATATGAAAGAGCAAGGATTAGTTTAAAGTTAAAGGGAAAATTCTTTGAAAAAAAATCCTCTTATTTCTCAGCTTATGTGCTATCTCATTAAAATCTTGTATAGCCTGGGAGCTCTGTTTTCCCATTGCTAGGAGTGCTGGATTTATTACCATTCTTCCAACAAAAATGCAGATCCTTAGCTCTGAAAAACTTGTCTGTGATAGGAATGCATTTATTGATGGGCTTGCATTTTTGTCTTATATATTTAGGCAAAATATGTATCTCCTGTTTATAGCAAAAGTTAAATCATGGTGTGTTGGGACTTTGCTTATGAAAATAATATTTATTATGAGAGGTAGATTTGAAAACCTTTGCTACAGTTACAGACTGATAAATACCAATTAAAATTTTTGCAGATGCTTTTGCATTTGAGGGATTCACCATAGCATAACAACCACTTCTAGAGTGTGACTGGAATAATTTTAGGTGGTGTTTTATCTATGAAAATGTTTCCCCTTCTTATGACTCTTGAAATCCCTCAGTGGGAATGGAAAGAACACTTAAAACTTATGCTAGTAACTTAAAGGTCTTAATGAATTCATTTCTGGATTACTGGGCAAACCCATGTGCTTTTCCGACACGGGGAAACTTGTTATTTTAAGACCTGATTTCCTGATTTATTTTTTTTTACCTTAAAATAACAATAGAGTTTTCGAAAACTGTTCAGGAACCCAGGTCTTGGAAAGGAAATTATTGGATATACCAGTTGTTCCTGTATTTTTCTTAGCTCCTAAGTTAGGTCATATCAGCTGAATAATTATTTTAGTGTCTTCTAGTCCTAACTAGGTGTTGTACTAAGCAGAATGAAATGTATAGGCTTTCATTCTTTGAACTACCTTCTAGTTTCAACTCTAAATACTGATAAAAGGATAAATATGATGTTTAACTGGTATCTCTTATTACAGAGGGAAGATTCTCTTTAGCGTGATTACTTACAAATAATATTACCTCATCATGGAAGAACTATCACCAGAAGAAATTCAACTGAGGGCCAACCAGGTCACTGATGAGGTAAATATTGTAGGAAGATATCTAGGATTACAATACTTGCCTGATGAAATTAGAATATACTTTTAAAAATAGACAGACCAGGGTACTGATTCTGCAAGGGTATAGCTGAGTGTTTTAAATTTTCGCTTTACTTGGCTAATACTGGAGTGAAAACTACTCCTAAAAATAAGAATGAATTTAAACTTCTGAACTGTAAAGTCACCTGCTTGACTGAGCACTGATCACCCACCCACTCCTGACTACAGAGACACAATGCAGGTTGGGTATCTACAGTATTGTTAGTCATATTGATACTTCATGACTTTCTTATTTAACTAAAATTGATTGGAATATATCTCCTTTTATAATGACTTTCCAATGGAATAAGCAAAGTACTAGCAAGGACTAAAGACCAAGGAAAAAAAGTAATGTGCTGCTACTGTGGCTGTATTGTAGCGTGTATTAGATATAAACAGGGTGATAAACGTTTGTATACTCATTGCCTTGCTACAATGAACTGGTAAAGAACTCTCATGCACTGAGATAGATATATATATACACAGACAATTAATGCACTCATTTTAAAATTCTCTTTGTAGTCTTTGGAAAGCACAAGGAGGATTCTTGGTTTGGCCATTGAGGTAAGGAAAAACTTTAGAATTCCCTCTGGATTTAATATAAGAAGCAGCATGTTAACTGTTACAATTATCTTAATCAGCTTTTTGTCTTTCTCAAGACACATGTCAGTAGAAGTTGCTGCTTTAATTCAGTAGTAGAGTTGGAATGACTTAAACTTCATGAATTTCACATTATGTCAGATCACAGAAGGGTTGATATCCTTTTTACCTGTTTTCCTCTTAAACAAAATTACTTAATCTCCAAATGCTACAGATCAGTTATAAAAAGTCTGTGATGGTCAGTTATGACTTTGTCCCTTGCTTCTCATAACATCTTTCATTTGTCTTTTAGCTCACTTTACCTGTGAACAGTGTGAAAATGTCTCACTTTGAGGACAGTAGGGCTTTATTGAGTGGGGTAATAGAGAGCAGGGCTGCTTTTGGTTCTAAACAGAAGTAATTTTACATACACCTTACAATCTGTTCATCAGTTTTAACTTTAAAGATAAGACTGATGAAACTCTCAACACCCTTGTACATGACTTGAACCAAATCCTGTATTTTGGGCTTATCTGAGTGAAGTTGTATGAGGGATCTACTGCCCTGCGCTGTTATGGCTTGCTGAAGATGCTGCTGTTACCAGTGAGGCATTGGAATCAGCATAGCCTAATGAATAACTCTCTAACACAAATGTGAAATACATGTAATGAGCCAACAATAATTTCTCTTGATATCATAGTTTGGTGATTCATTCTATGCTGCCAGTTTAAAGTAAAGTATGGGTGCAACTTGCACGCTAGATTCAAGACTTTGAGCCAGCAAAGAGCTGTATTGTAGTATATTACTCAGTGCTGATTTCTTTTGCTTCATGTTCTAAAACTAGTGATGGTCTATTCTCTTCATGATCTCTTGTGCTGAATTCTCAAGAATGGTTATGCAGGCTTCATTTTGCTTTCTTCTCTTCTGGCTTCCAAGACTAAAGGCCTTGTCAGCCCTATTGAAGGGTGTAGGGATAAAGAACAAACCCAATGCCACTTCTCAAAGGTCTACCTTTTTAGCTTGATGTTGTCATAGTTCAATATGATTATTACAATAAATTTTATCATCTTGTTGTAATGTAAAAAAACAAAGCCAAACCCTCACAAAAGCACCACTAATTGAGATAGGCTGATAAGCATCTCACCTGTTTCACTAACATAGGATCTAATTTGAAACTTAGAATAGCTTTACTACAGAAGTTATTTCTAGCACAGTGTTTTATTATGAACTTGGCTGGATTATCCAATTTACTATGAAGACCTTCAGATTTTGCACTGCTGTATTGAAATCTGGTTTTATATCTTCAACTAAATTTCTTTCTGCAGTCCCAGGATGTTGGCATCAAAACTATTACCATGCTAGATGAACAAGGAGGTAAGTTCTTCCTTCTTCCAACACTAAAAGTCATTATTATGACTGTAAGAAAAAAATCATCATTCAAGAGCTGTTGCTGAAACTAAAGGTTTCCTAAAGACAACTTATGTGAAAATGAGATTTGCTAGTTGGTTTTTCACAAGTGTTTGTAGTATTTAAAAGAGGTTTTAAAGTATTTCAGAGATAATGTTAGTTACAATGTAATACAGAAGCTGCTTCTCTCCACCATCCCATGAATGTAACTGTGTGCATTTATTTTAAAAGCACCAAAAATGTGCTGCTCTAAGGATAAGGAATATATTTTTCATGTAGTAAACAAAACTTATAACTTAATATTTATTTAAAAAAAAAAATCCTAGAGGGCAGAAAAGAAAATAGGCTTTAGTCTTGGTATAAAGGTAGAACTGAAACTTGTTAAGTTCCTGCTTTAAAGAAATGTTAATATTCCCCACCCTCATCTTCCCCCAGTCCATGTTTATTCAGGTTACTTGTTTCTCTCCTAGAACAACTAAATCGCATAGAAGAAGGCATGGACCAGATAAATAAGGACATGAGAGAAGCTGAAAAGACACTGACAGAGCTCAACAAATGTTGTGGGCTCTGTGTCTGTCCTTGTAACAGGTCAGTTATATTGGTACTTGGGTCTGAAGTTCTAGAATATTCCCAGTAGCTGCTATACTGGGAGATGTTCACTAAGTAAAAGAGCTAATTAAAAAATGCTAGCAAAGTTGATTCTTTTGGTTTGTAGAGCTGCACCCTTATAAAATTGTATAAGAGTAGCTAAGCTTACTTGCATCTGACTATATGTGTGCCCCTTCCACTGTAAATATAGCCGCTGTATAACAACCTCCCCAATTGTGCCTTAACCTCCTTAAAGCTGATATTTAGTAGAATACTATCAATGTCCATTGAAATGAGACCAAGTAGGACTGCAAATAAATATGTAAGTGCCTGCCTCTGAGAAATTTGACTCCAAAAATCTTTTTTTCACAAAAGCGCTTTTGTACTAACTTGAAAGCAAGAAAACTTATTTTTTGGGGAAGGAAAGTAGTGGTTCTCTAGGCATTTAGAAAATATTCGTGCTTTAGGGAGGGTGAGAGTAGGAGAACAGAACAGACATTGGTGTTAAAGCTTTAATCTTTTCAATAATGGCTATATAAACTCTTGCAGACCTGCTTTGCACTACCTTTATTACATCAGTGTTATGGCTACCGTATCCAAGTCAGTTGAGTAATCTTGTATGGCACTTGATTTGTACTTTTAAACACCTAAACAGCCTGAACAATGATCAGAATTATTTTTTGAAGGTGTACTAGCTTTATCTTTAAACAGTGTGTTGAATTGTTTTGAGTGAATTGAATATGATCATATTTCTTCCGAATGAAGGAGAAATAAATTGAGTGTGGTAACTGAAATGAATAGTGTGTGTATTTGTTGTTTTTTGCTCTTTAGCACGAGCAAAAAAATCTTATTCAACTGGGAGGCAGCAGAAGTTTAGATAGAGATTCCTTGGAGTGGCTGAGTATCTAGGAGAATACTTTGAGGATCATTTAGGATAGATATGAATGTGGCTTTTAAGACTGAAAGTCCTAGAGCTTGAGGCCCTTGAAAAGACAGATACTTCTGTCCTGACCTCTGGATAGGTGTGCTTCCTGCTTTATATTAGTTGGATCAAGCTGGTGGACTTTGAGCATTTTGACACTGTCTTTGTTTTTTATAGTTGATAGTCTTATTTCACTGAAGTTAAGCAGCTTATTGACACTGAGCAAGCTTAGAATTTGTGAACTCTTGTGGCACTCCAAGTACACAGATAACAAGAAAAGAAATAAGAGTTGTGTACCAAATGGGCTGTAGTGTGCAGAAAAAAAAATCTACCAGATAAGTAGAGGGCAGTGCAGAAGAAGAAACAGTGAATGTCTTTAATATATCTACTGGTACATCAGTCTTTCTGTCAATGCCAGAATTAATTGTCACCCAGTTATCTCCAAAGCCTTTCATTTTTTTCATAAGCATAAAGCTAAATCAGAACACTTGTTGAATTAAATATTGCTTTTCTAATTTCTCCTAGGCTTAGATTATGTATAAAAGCTTTCTAAAAACACAATACTGGCAGTACTGTTTTATGATCTATGTACTAATAACAAGTTGCCTGTTCGTTGGTCTTTACTATTCTTTCTTCTCCATTCTTTCCTCCATTCTCTTCTAACACTGATGCTTGCTTTCTAAAAATGAAGACTAGGTTAAGAAGCTGTATTCACTTAAACTGGTGAAAGTGGATTTTAGGACAAGGTCAGTCTTAGTAGTGCAGATGCATATTTAGCCAGCTGTCTGAAGTGATGCTTCTGTTGTCTTTGTGCTTGCATGTGCATGATGTCTGTTTGCATGCAGGTCTCCTTATGACTGATGTATTGTAATACTGATGTGAATAGAAAATATCTGTTACTACAGAGGGGTAGTAGTTATGGAAATGGTGAACAACTACTTGAGCTCTTGCTGGTATGGCAAGTTGTATAAATAGCTTTATTTTTACAGAAATGAAACATGAGAGAAGTGAACATTTGAAATGTTCAATTGAATTTGAAAAACAGCTCTTAAAAACAGGTGGTGAGAAGTTTTGTTCTTGACTGTGTTTAGTTCAAACAATGCTGTTTCTAGCTGTCTCCTTCAGATGTGAAACTAATTTTCAGGCCACTTGTTTTTTGGTAATAACGTCCTTACAGTTGCCTCTGAGACGTAAGACTTTGCTTATCCAGAAGCAAATCACACAAAGTTCTCCTGCTGTTGTGGCTTTAGTATGAAAGAGATTACAATATAATGCTCAATCTAGTTGCTGTAAACCTAAAGAGATCTGTAAGCTTGAGTATGTACAAAGAGCTAGAATTGACTGGTTTAGGTTTCTTTAGGATTTTGCTGGGTTCAGCACTTCAATTGTGAACTGAGAAGTGATTCCATTTCTTCCCCTTCGTGTATTCATTCTAGATAACTTTTTGTAGAATCTGACCTATGAAACACAATTTCCCATTTCAAATACATAAATGCCGGTTGAATTAGGGGAATATTTCTTCATTGCAGTGAATTTCACAACACTTCAAATGTATAACATCTGGGCTACTGAAAGGCACTGTATCTATAGAAATTGATTACAGTTAACTGTAAAGTTAGATGTACTGAAAGACACTACAGATTTCCCTTCACAGGCTTTTAAAGAAGCAGAAAAGTGGCAGTGGAATCTGGATTGTCTAGCTTAAACCTGAAAATGCCAGAAAACAATGTGAACATGAGAATATTCTTCTCAAAATGAGAACTGACTCCAATTTAGATCAGTTATTTTTGTGTTGTATTTTCTTCCCTTCTTGCTTTTGTGGCTTTGTGATTCCTGAGACTGCTTTGTGTCAGTGTGCTTTTAATTTTTTTTTCTTATGAATTATGTGATAGAAGTGTAATGGTAAGTTGTTTTGATTTAATGGAGTTAGTACAATTGAATTGCATAATGCATTAGCTATTTAACTATGATTACTGTTATTTTATAATCCAAACTACCCTGAGAAACATTAAAAAGAAAGACTTGGCAACAGAAAATATTTGATAAAAACCTGTAGTGATTTATGGTTTTCTTGCATAGTATAGCTATTTGTGTTTGAGGAAGTTTTTTCACTCATCCCCATTTCTTCCTGAAAACTAACCAGTCATGATTGATTATACTAATGCCTGTTGTAAGTGCAACTTTATCTTGTGACATGTAAGCCTTCCTGCTACTGTCATAAGCTTCTGTCTTCTGGTGAAGTACATTACTTTAATTCTTGTGTTAAAGCTTAAGACCACATTAATCACTGTCCTTAGAATAACTCAGTTGTGTTTGTACTATCAAGATATGAGAAATTGTATTATACAGACAAGGCTTTATCCATACAAAACTAAATCTCTTTAAGGCACAAGACAAATGTTTCTGAAAACCCTAGATTAATACTGAATTTCAGTCAGGAAGCCGTATTTCTGAGGTAGTCATTCAGATTTCTTATCTTTCTGGAGTAGGACAAAGAACTTTGAGGCCAGCAAGGCATATAGAGCAACCTGGGGAGATGGAACGGAGAACTCAGCAGATCATGTGATATCCATGCAACCAAGACGTATAAACCAGCAGCAGCCTCAGACTTCTGGAGGACCAAGTGGTGGATATATTACAAGGTTTGCTTGTTCATATTCCTTAATCTGGAAAGCAGAAAGCCTAAGTTAGCAGTTAGCAGTTATCAGTTGTTAAATAGTAAGTTGGAGGAGTTGTTATAGCTTGGAAAGGAGATGGCAGACACCTATGCTGTCAGTATTGTAGTGCTCATCTTACACTTTTTTTTTTTAATAGTGGTGATATCAGTCTATTTCTGGATGTGAGGACTATAGAGCTTAGTGCTCAGTTATTGAGGGGACTCTTAAAAAAAGAGAGACTCTTAGTCATAAAGTATATTTGAGATAAACCCATGTCTTAAAATTCCTCTGTTAGCTAGTATTTTAATTTTTAAGGCTATTTTTGTAATAGTGACTAGCTTAGCACCTTTCTTTAGGTAGTTGCATGCTTGGAATGCAGGGGGCTTTGAAAGGGGAAAAACACACCTTGGCTTGAATATGTTGTGCAACAAAATAGAATCGTAGAATCAGCTGGGTTGGAAGGGACCTCTGAGATCAAGTCCAACCCTTGATCCACTACTGCTGTGGTTACTAGACCATGGCACTAAGTGCCACATCCAGTCCCTTTTTAAAAATCTCCAGGGACGGAGAATCCACCACTTCCCTGGGCAGCCCATTCCAATGCCTGATCACCCTCTCTGTAAATAAATTCTTTCTAATATCTAACCTAAACCTCCCCTGGCACAACTTGAGACCATGCCCTCTTGTCTTACTGAGAGTTGCCTGGGAAAAGAGACCAACCCCCACCTGGCTACAACCTCCTTTCAGGGAGTTGTAGAGAGTGATGAGGTCTCCCCTGAGCCTCCTCTTCTCCAGGCTGAACAGCCCCAGCTCCCTCAGCCTCTCCTCATAGACTTGTGCTTGAGTCCCTTCACCAGCCTAGTTGCTCTTCTCTGGACCTGCTCCAGCACCTCAATATCCTTCCTGAACTGAGGGGCCCAGAACCGGACACAGTACTCGAGGTGTGGCCTCACCAGTGCTGAGTACAGGGGAAGAATCACTTCCTTGGACCTGCTGGCCACACTGTTCCTGATACAGGCCAGGATGCCATTGGCCTTCTTGGCCACCTGGGCACACTGCTGGCTCATGTTCAGCTTCTTGTCAATCCAAAGTCCTATTAGAGTAAATCTAGAGTAAAGCAAGTTCTTAATTCTTGAAACTTTACCTTAATTACTTGAACAGAATAACAAATGATGCCAGAGAAGATGAAATGGATGAAAATCTTGCTCAAGTGGGAAACATTCTTGGGAATTTGAAAAACATGGCTTTGGATATGGGCAATGAAATTGATGCCCAGAATAAACAAATAGACCGGATAAACGTAAAGGTAAGTGTCAAAGGTGTTCTCTGCTTTCAGCGTAGAGGTTGTAACTGAGAAGTTACTAGGAATGTGCTACTGTCCTATCTATCTGTATTTGCAGTAAATATGCATTAAGGTTATACCATCCTCTAGGTTGCAGCGATTTCAATGGGAAATATACCTTGATGTTTGGTTAAGTAGTGGAAGATTCAAATGCTTTAGAGTGTCAGGAAACCTAAAAATACAGCACAGGTTACTGTTTACTCTGGAAACAAATAAACTTGATGGGATCAAAAGGAAAAACATTTACTGGAGGTATAACTGGGGGATTGTTGCTGGCAGGAAATCTTTTATGTGGTAGGGAATAGGTATTTTTAACAATAGGAAGGTTCTTCTGGAACTTCTAAAAAGTCACTAGAATAATTAAATATAAAATAAAACAGGTAATTCATTGCCCTAATTCTTGTGGACAAATTAATATTGGGGCTGAGAAGACTTTGGAATAATGAGGTTTGTAGGTGCACAGGGACATGGCCTGCCTTCATCTGCACATGAAGTTAGTCACAGTAGATTTCTTCTTTTATTACTTTATATTACTTAAATATTAGATTCTCCAAACAAATTAAGCATATATAAATGTATGGCAGAAGGGGGTGTCTTTCAAAGAGAAACTTAATGAGTATGTTGGCCTATTTTAGAAATGCCCATATTAAAAGTTCTCTTACAGACATCCTGGTTTAAAAAGGAAATGAAAGCTTTAATGATTAGTGTATATTAAAGACTTCAAAAAGCAGCAGTGAACACCGATTCCTGTAAAATTTTAGTATTAAGACAAAATGGGAAGTTTAAAAATCTCAAAGTTAAAAATCTCACTGAAGTGTGTAGTAGGGTTAAAAGCAAGATAAATGGTGTTTTCTCAAATACACGGAGCTAGTTTGACAAATGCTGGTTGTACTTGTGTCAGCATTTCAGTTTTGTGTAGTAATTAAGGGGTTGTTGTATTAATAAGGCAAATCAACGTGATTTTATGGAGGATGCTTTAACTGTCTTTTACTGTTCTTGAAACTGTAGATCTGATTATCAGGTAAAAAAGTCAAACGTTTTAAAGTACACTAGAATATTCCTTGGAGTTTAAAATTAGGTGGGAAATTCTTACAACTTATAAAGCAGACTGAAAATTGCCAGGTCAAATGAACTGCAAGTAGAAATTACTGTTTTTAGCAATAGTGTTTCTAGTAGATTAAAGCACCTGGTTTTGGCCTGATGCTCTTTTGCTTTAGTGGTCTGAAAAAAATCTTGCTGATCAAGTCTTACTAATTCTTAAAATATGATGTATACAAGTTAGAATTGTTTTACAGAACACAGTGAAAATGAAAGTGCAATTCCTGGCTTTGAGACTGGCAACCTGTTTCAGGATAATTAAATTAATCCTTTTCTGTTGATAACTTCTTTAATCTAGTGAACAGTATGGAAACCAAATCAAAATGTTGAGTGGAAATCTCCAAAGGACAGTATCATATAAAGAAACAAAAAGCAATATTAAGCTTAACTTCAGAATAGGGTTGATGCTTGCTTTTTTTTTTTTTTTTTTTTTAATTCTAACTCATCTGGAAAATATATAGACTTGACTAGGTGACTTTTGGTAGTCTGCAATGGTATGCAGGACTCCTAATCTGAATAAACTTGTAATGAAACATGTTATTGGCTTTTTCTTAGAAGCAGATCTAGTTGGATGTGTTTCAGAAGTGTTGTTAATAGGTTAGAGTCTCACATTTGTATAGTAGATTCTTGCCCCTCCCTCTACCCTTGACCTGAAAGGCAGGAAGGAGAGAAAAGGAGGGAAGGACTTGAACTGCAGATGTCCTTTTACCAGCCATTTGCAGTATGAAGTTGTGAAATAGCTAATACTTGGCACAGGTAGAACTTCTTAGGAGTTCCTCTAATGATGAGGACATTCCCCACTGCAGGCTGGATAACCGAGGAATTATTTCGAAGCTCCTTATCATACCTTTCAATAAAACTCTCTTTTGACACTTTTTCAACCTAGATGTTGTGAGCTGATTTTTGATGCTTTATGGTAGTAAAACAATAATAAAGAGCATTTTTGTACAAATACCATATTTTTATGACACTAGGACACTGGAGGGTGTGTGAATGACAACCAGGGATTTGCGCTAAGCAAAATAATTCTGACTTGATGCCCATAGGTCTACTTTTGACTATTACTTCTAGTTCAGAACAACTTTGTTGCTCTGTAGAGGTCCTTAAGATGTCCAAAGACTTGGAGAGAGGGAATTTTTTTCTCCTTGTTTTGTTAATATTGTTCCTGACCAGCTGAGGCAAGCTGCTGTTTTGAAAGTCTACAGCTAAAGAGTAAAAACTATTTCTCCTGATTTTGTTTCTGCCAAAATTGACAGCATATACTGGCTTCCCTTCTGTCTACTGCAGTGATAATACTTTGGAATTCAGAAGTTCATGTCAGTTTGAATTTTTAAACTGTTTTGCATGGAGTCTGCAAATGATGTATGAATTTCTCTCTTTCAGGCTGATACAAACAGGGAACGCATTGAGCAAGCCAACGTCAGAGCCAAGAAATTAATTGACAATTAAAGCCTGGTGTCATTGTTCAATGACACTGTCTCTCCAGCTGCAAACCACCATATTCATGGATCTGTGAAACTTCTATTCTTTAATAAGAGGGGCTGGGAAAAATGAAGCAGTAACTTTCTATAGTAATTAATTTTCTCTTATTGCTTCATGTAAACATGGCTTTGACTCAAAGAAAGCGGTCAACTTCCTTCTACTCATCTGCCTTCACTTCCTCTATACTGCTCAGGGCTAAAAGTATTAGGGCTTTGAGAATCTTCTTGCATGTTTTATTCCTCCTCCCAGTTTTTCTTTTTTTTAATTTTTTTTTTAATTTCTTGCACCGAAAATACAGTCCTTTTTATTGAAGTTGAACAAGCAGGGGTAACCTGAATTCACAGTTGTGGAAGGTTGGAGAGGGGACTTTGCACTGTTTGAAATACCTCATAAGTTGAGTGTCTTCACTAAAATAGGGACTTGGCGAACATTATCTAACTTGTATCTCTAGCATGCTAACCATAGCTTTACAATCCAAACCACATGATTGGTTTGGGGTTGAGTTTGTGGATCACAGAATTGAAGAGGCCCATTACTTACAGCTTGTGGGTTGAGGGCTTTAAAACACTTCCTAACCACACGAACTTTAAGGTAATGGCAACTGGAGGGATATAGAGGTTTCCATTTCTTTACTGTAAATTGGCATCACTTTGGAGGCCATGACTAGGAAATCATGCTGCATTGTTCTGATATTTGTTGTGCGTGTATATATATGCCTGATCTAAACCCTGTGCACACGTGAATAGAAGAAAGTAAAACTATATCCCTAAAGTATTTATTTGATGGAAATTTTTACAACCCTCATCTGAAAGTTAACTTCTAAGTGTTTGAATGATGCATCTAAACCGGAAGAAACTGAGCAGAAAAGCATGCAGATCTCTTGCATCCCATATCTTATTCTCTTTTGGCCAGTTTTCTCTGGAGTTCAGTTTATGCCTTTCTCCAGTAGAAAATACTGACTGAAATCTGGTGCGGAGTTTGCTGTTAGCAGTGACTTTGGGAGTACTTTTTAAATCTATCCAAACCAGAGAAGCTTATTATGAAACTTCTTTGTCACAGGTCTGGAGGAAGACGTAGCCATTTATAAACTGTATGCTAGTTCTAAATAAACTAGTTCTAAATAGATTCCTGACTGGTTTATTATTGCAGATATTGGGACTGGCAATTGGAAATATTACATGCCCAAGTTACTTGCAACTAAAAGTTCTTGTTCTGTTGCAGAACAGAGGAGTTTCTGACCAGGTGAGGTGAAGCTCTTTCCTATGAAGAAAAACATTTTGGTTTTACTGTAATATAATTAGATTTATTTCCAGAATTTTTCTTTAAATCTTTATAGTAATTAAATTGCAAGTGGCTTATGTAATTTTAACTCCACCCAGCATATACTATGCCTGTTTTACAGTTGAAAGTGATGCTTTGGAGTACCCTATGATACTCACTGTTGGATGGCAAAAATCTTCAAACCAAATTGATTGGAGGAATAATTAAAACTAATAGCATTATGGGGTGTTTTTTTGGGAGGACAGTCTACAAGTATCCTGTAGCCACTAAGATTGAATCCCAGGGCTAGAGATGACACTAATCCATTGAAATGTTTAGACAGTGTTAGGTATTTTGTTTTCTTTTTAGCAGAAATACAGTCAGTATTAGTGGTATATTTTCAGTTCACTCCCAGCACAACTTGATATTTAAAGAAAAAGACCAAAATCAGCAACCACACACACACAAAACTCAACAAAAACCTAACCAAACAAAGCAGAAAAACCCAAACAACTGACCAAAGGATGAAACAGCTGCATGTAATAAATAGGCCAGTGGCAGTTTGCCTTATGTGAAGAAGTCATTCTTAGGGCATTAGATACTTCAATACTGTGGATTGGCTCCTGTCTAGCTTCCAGTAATTGTTGGAAAGCCAATGAATTTCAAAAGCTTACTAGTTGCCCAATCAGTAAATGAAGATTATATGCTTAAAAACACAAGTAGCAAAGAAGTACTTTTAAGAACATGGCATAGTAAACTTCAAACAACCACCTGCATAAGAAAGTGTAGGGAATTTTGGATGAGCTTTTTTTTTCCTTCTTACAAACTTCATGTTAACTGAAGGATTATTTGCTGCTAGTTGTGAAAGCAAAGTATGCATTATTTAATTGTCTTCCTGGAACAGAAGACTGAAGTGGTTACCTTTATTCTGCTTACACAATGCAAACCCGCTCTGTAGCATTTGAACATTCCAAACATTGGAATGTTTTTCTCCCTTGCCACTACAAGTCCATATTCTTGACTTGCCTGAGCTCTAACAACAAATTAACATATTGGCTGACAGAATGCTGTGATGGATATATCAGAATTGTAATATTGCAATGAATACCACACAAGGAAATAATTTCTGAGACTCTGAGCTTGAGTATTAGCGGAGCATCGATACTATTTTCTGATCTGCAAGAGCCAAATCCGTGAGGGAGTTGGTGCCTTTATGTTAGTGAACAACACAGTCTGCTACTTGGATTGTCTTACTGTTGTCTATAGAATAGATGCCTAATTTCCATATCTATGGTATGAAATCAACCCTTGTACATCTTTGTATGTCTGAATGCTATTAAGAATGAAGGCTTACAGTTTCTGCTTTTGATTGTTAAATTATATATTGTGCACAAAAAATACATACTTTTATAACTGAATGTGTTCTAAAATTATTTTCTCTTAAAAATGTCGTCGCTTAGTTTCCTGTCCTTGAAAAACTTGGCAGAAGTAGTTGCTACTACGCAACTAGGAAGTTTCTCTTCTATTTTTATTTCACAGAATAATACTAACAAAGTATAAGGTGTGGTTGGGAAGAGAGGAATATTGTGAACTTTAACAGTCTATTTTGGATCCCTGTATAATCAACATCTCCAAGCTTCAAACTATGAAATGTGTCTGTCTCTTTGAAAGACTGCAATTTGACATGGGTGTATACTTCAGGATGATAAAGAAACAAAAAATAACTTTAAAACTTTCCAGTCAAGTATCAGTAACAGATGCCTAGAGTATACATAGTCCAGTAGGTAAAATCTAGTGATTTAATCTCCTGCCACTGCAATTTCACTCGTGAGGCAATTTAGTTTGTATTTTCTGTAATACATAGAGTTTCAGATTCCCAGAATGCTCTTAAAGGGGAGTAGGTGTGGGGGAAAATACAGACTTTTGTTGCATAGCAACAGTTCTGAGCTGCAAGAGAGAGTAGCCTACCTGGGAAGGGCTTGGAAAAAGTACTTCTAATATAGTATATTACTAATATAGTAACTAGAAAAAAAATATTAGGAACAGCCTGCTTTCATAACTATTCTGAGCAGGCAGCACATGTCCCAGGGGTACACTTAAATGGCAATAATTGGTAAATTCAAGCTAGTCTATGCCTTGACAAAAGACCAATCTTCTTAACACAGCAATAGCTACAGTATGAATTGCAGCACGTGCTGCTTGTGCAGCTACCTGCAGAACTTACCTCTGCGAAGGCTATATGGTGAAACAACTCAGTTTACACAATGCAGTGACTAAGTTGCTAATTCACCTTTGCTGCGCTTGAAGCAATGCTGTGTCTAAATGCTGTTTGAATAGATGGATGACGTGTATCTTACTGAAATGGAAAACTGGAGAGCAAAAGGTCTGAAATAAAATACATGAATGGTTCATTTTGTTAACTATGGTAGCATCTTCTACTTCAGTAATTCCAAGGCTATGAAACTGCAAGTGTAATTGTGCATGGAAATAAAATCATTTTATAACTTCAGTTGTAGAGTAGGAGTGATGAGAAGGGAAAACAAACTCCCACTATAAAACTACTAGTAGATAATATAGAGCACTGAAATGTATAGAACAGCATTCTACTATGTGACTTGGTCACAGTTATTCACTGCTGTGAGTTACATGTGTAAGGGTATCAGCCAGTTCTTTTTTCCTTGAAACAATCTTCCTCTGTTCTGGAGCAACTTTCGTTAATCCAGATCTAACTCTGCTCCAATCAGTATTTTCCATGGTGCTTTCTCTATTTTGTTCTACAAAAGCTTTGATAGTTGTCATAACTCCAAAGTAGCAAAGGGGCCTAACAATGAGTAACTGAAAGGTTTCTAAATGTATTAGTGATCACATAAAAGAAATGTTGACTTATTTTCTCAAATGCTTCCAAAAGCAGTAAGACTTTTTTTATAGCATTGCTAACTCCATAATTTTCAACTGTTCTACCATCTCTTCTTATACCTCTTTGTTGAATAGAAAAAAAAAGATAAATGTTAAATGAGAGAAGCAGCATCTCTGTGCACACATATTTCCCGTTAAAAAATAATAAAACCAAAATGCCACCACAGCAGAGTGGCACCGCATTGCCAAGTGTTTACATACTGATGATACACCACTCTGGAGTTGTCAGAGCTGGTGAATGCAAAGGGAAATTTGGTAACTGAAAGGCTTTGTTCTGTTGATGTCTTGTGCACAGCTAGGAAAAACTAGTACTTCAAATGGGATTTAGGTATCAAGTGGAAGGAGGTAAACTTTAGAACAAGCCCACAGGCTTTATTTGCTACTGGCTTTGCATGTCATAATCTGTGGAATCTATTATTATGAAGCTGAATAGAATCTGTGGAATCTATTATTATGAAGCTGACTATACAGGGCCTTGCATTATGTGTTCTTAAAGCACTTCCCTAGTTACGTCTTGCAAAACAAAGTAGCCTGAGAAATGTTGTCTGCCATCAGCTACTTCTTATGAAAAACTAGTAGGTTGTTTTTTTCATAAAGTGGTGGAATTGGATTCTTAAGGAAAACTGGTTGCCTGTTAAATGATGGATCACATCCATCCTTTGAATAGCTACAAATAGGGAACTAGATACCTCTCTTAGCATCTTATAAAAGAACCACTTACTGCTAATCTTAATTTTGGCTGTTATGTTGAAGTGTAGCTGTTACCAAAAACTGACAGACCTAAGTACCTAAGTAAGGGCTTTCAGTGACAGCTTAATACTACTTATATAAAGTGAAAACAGCAAGAGTTACACCAAATGAACTGATTTTTTGAAAATAATTTACTAAAATATACAAGTACATTTTCCTTTTCAGTATAAGTTACATAATTGTACACATTTTTACCTCTTTCTAGGTGCTTTTGGTAGTAAGGCAGCAGCAGTAAGCTGATGACTAAAACCTTCAGCATTGCTCTGTACACAAGGAGTCAGTGCAAGGATATTTTCTAGCAATATACATTTTTAGTAAATACATTGAAGATGAACCTAGTTTTTATTCAATACAGCTCAAGCAGAAGTGGACTGTAGTGCAATTCTTGCTTATGGGAAAAGAAAGCCCATACAATAAAATATGAATGAAGGATGCTCAAACCACAATTTGTTTACTGGAAGCTGTTAATAAAACATTTAACCACAATCACTTGTGCTTCATAAAAAAACTCATACAGGTTATAAATTAAAACCTTGCCTATAAAAGTTCTTCTCTGTAGAATAGTGCTTACTGCAAGACATACAATGCTTTGGTGGTAGAACTTCCATGTGCTATCCTGGAAAAATGTTTCCAGAAGAAATAATCCTCTTATAAATCAACAGCCAGCTTCATGACAAAAGGGAACTGGCAACTTTGAAATGCTCATTCCCTTTCTCTGTGAAAGAACAAGCCGTGACAAAGGAGAACATGTACTGTGTTAAAAGCTATTGTGGCACAAAAATCAAAACTGGCCCCTGGGCAGGTTCATCAGTTCAATACCTATGTTCTCTAGTTCAAGTTTATTCAATGCGGCCTTAACAGGCTCTATCAGACTACTAGAGGAGGAGTACTCTGATAATTTCCTTCATCAGTCTTGGTTTAAGTCAGTGAAGCAGGTACTTCTAGTCTCTCTTCTTATTAGTAACATACGGGGTCCGAATAATGATCATGCAAACTTCTTCTTTGTAGCTGTAAATCGTTCCATGTACTACAAAGAAAACAAAAACCATCTAAGATTCAGAAATTAAGAGAGGATTCGTTACTGCTAAAAGCAGCTAAGCTTCTGCACTCAGACTCAAAAACATTCTGCATCTAAAGCATATTTTTATAGCCCAGCTGTAACCATTACAGCTTTAATTTCAAACGAACAAAAAACTCCCTAAAAATTTATGCCATTTGCTGCAATTCAGACTAATGGTCAAATCTCAAGTGTTAAAGATGAACTAATGTTAAATATGAAGCATCCATTATTTTTTGTCCCATCAAAGTGAAGATGCACACCTGTCATCATTAGCTGCCCTTTAAGAGATGCTGATGAAAATCATTAATCCTGAATCATATGAGAAAGTTAATATTTGAAGAACTCTTGATATTCTTTTTAGAGATAAGCTGTGAATCCAATACCAGTGACAATACCAATATACTATTTTGTGCTTTTATTCAACAGCATAAATGCTTAGTATTCTGAGGAGGTACCGGGTAAGGACTTCACTTGTTAAAAAAACACAAAACAAAAAATCCCCAACCGACCAAAAAAAAACCAAAACAACCCACAACCCACAAACCTTGTCATAACCTTCCAGTTCTCTGAGTTTCTTGATTTCAAAGAGGTTGCCTTCTACTGCAAGCAGTGAGATCTGGGAATCACTAAGGATACTCTGAGGAAGCATGCTGAGTTCTAGACAGTTTTCTTCTAAACGCAAGACTTTGAGGCGTGGACAGTGGGATATCTGCACTGAGATCTGGGAAATCTTGTAGAAATAAACAGAAAAGAGAAATCAGATTAAAATGGTAGTGATCCATGATCATTAAAGTGACTTGTTTCAGACTTATACAGAACAATTACCACGTTGTAAATATAAACTACATTAACTACTTAGCAACAATGCATAAGCAACAAATTATCAAAAATCCAAGTAATTATTTTTCTTACATGATGACAGGCAACCTACGCATCTGTTTACCACATTCCTACTCAAGAACTGTTCAAATAATTTTCTGCCTGACTAAATTCAGGATTTGTTAATCAAATCAGGCACTTGGATGTACTAGTACATAAATTCTAGTTATGATCCCTCATTTGTGTTGTGTCCAGATGTCTTTTAGCTATAAAGTTTTGATGCTCTCATGTTCCGTGGATGTACTAAGTCCAACATAAACCATGTTCTAAATCTAGATGTCCATATCTCAGTTACCAGACCTGATTCTGATTCAAATTGAGTTCGATAGCCTGCAATTCTCCCACACTGTCGGGCACATTTTGGATCTGGTTTTTCGAAAGATCTACCACATCCAAGTGGCGAAGACCACAGAGTTGTGTAGGCACAGTCCGAAGCTGGTTTCCAGAAAGGCTCAGGGTTTTGAGAGCTGAAAGTTGTCCAAATGCAGCTGGTAACTGCCTCAAGTGATTGCCATTCAAGTGTAGTGTTTCCAGTTTTTTCAGTTTACACAACTCCTCAGGTAAAGCATCTAGAAATAAATGACAGAACAAACATATGACCTGAACTAAGAGCAGTAAACATTAATACCCCTTTAATTTGAATAAGCTTCTGCATGGAGAGCAGTACTATATTAAGTAATTTCTCACAGACTTCCTCCCCATTTTCCATTCATCCCTCATTCTGCCTACACAGGTGTATAACCTCTAGCACTCCTGAGTTGCACTATAGTCAGTTGCACTATGGAGTCAAAGGTTTGTAAATTATGTTTGTTTCAAAAAGGCAGATAATACATAATTAATGCATTAAAACCTAGTTTCTTCACCTCATTCTAATTTTTCCATAAAGTTGGATGTTTGTCGAACAGAAGCAGTAACAACCTCTGAATGGCCAGCAATATTGTCTACATCATCATCATCTTCATTACCTGTTCTCTATGCAAATACTAAACCACATGACACTTAAACTCTCAGATCAGACAAGTCACAGAACAAAAACCTTATGGTTTTAAGTGTTCATGTGTCATTGTAAAATATAAGACAACTAAGTTGGCAACTAGTTTTGTAGAGTTTCTGGTTCTGGAGTTTTCATGCTGTACATGAATTCCAAAAATTTCAGTTTAAGTGACTAACCTCCCTGTTTACATCCTGTGAGAGTTAAATTTAATAAATTTAGTTTCTGATCAGAGAACACAGGTTATTATTTTAAAAATCTGTGGAGATATTAATTAGCAGGCATACTCAGTTTGTTGTTGTTTAGAGCGAGGCTCTTCAAAAAGGAAAATTTTCCAATGAGAGGTGGCAAGAGTTCTATTTTGTTGTTCGACAAATCTATTGTCCTTAAGTTGCTTGTTAGCTTCTGCAGATCTTCAGGAAACTATGGGGGAGAAAAAAGATACAGCATTTAAATAGTTGATACAATTTTGAATGTTCAAGTTATACAGCTTAAAATTTTAACTGGAATTTGGATCACTATTACATACTGTCATATGCATTGCAATGTCCAATCACCACAGTGTAATTGGCAAACTTGCTTAATGCATATTTTTAAAAATATTTTTTCATCTGGGGAAGTGAAAAAGGATATAAAGAAAACACTAATATCTACGAAGAGTAGTTTTTCATCCAAAGTATTAAAATTAAAAAGGTAGAAGGAAGCTTGTTTACATTTGAGTCCTCTTGTGTGCTTCTCTTAAACATGCCTGTCATTTAAAATATCCCACAGCCAGTTAACAAGGACATATTTTTAGCAGAGTAAGATTGGGAAATTTTTCACTTGCTTTCCTTTTTCAATAATTATGTATAGCATTTTCCTTACTCTTACTTACACCCTGTATCTCTTTGGTACTGAGCCTTGAAACTGAGCTAAAAAAAGAAAAACCTGACAATCACCATCAAGGAGTCCTGGTGAATAAGCAAGTGGGTTTGATTCTCCTTTGGTTTGACAGAGAAAAAGAGAGAAGGTAGCACAGTGGAAGAAGACACTTTAGAGAAGTCTTGGAAAATTATGGCAATATAGTTATTTTGGCTATCCTGTGACCTGCTGCTTGATTTATGGTTCCAGAACATGGTGTGTTTTTCTGCAGTTGAGTCTAAGTCAAGACAATTTCCAATATAATAAACTCTCAGGATGCTTACAGCCCAATGAACAGACTATTCATGACTACAGTTAAATACAGTCTAAGTATCTAAATGTAACACATTGCGGAGTATCTTTCTAAGTAACAATATGCTTACAAAATATATATTTTCCCCTTCAAGCTTATAGCTGTTTTTTAAAAAAAGCACATCATAACTAATACTTCCTGAACATATACGCACTCTAAAACATAAGGTCATAAGCATACAAGTGCCCTGACAGATAAATCCTCATTCAGAAGACAATGCAGGCAAAAAGGAAAAAAGGAAATAAATCTTGAAATATTTTCTATCACCATTTGTGAGAAATACATGTATGCAGTGGGAATTTCTCTCTGAAAGTGTCAGTCATGCACACAAACAGCCATGTTTCCCCTACTGTTACATTACCTCAGTAAGTCCCTTTCCAGTCAGCTGAAACACACCAGTTTTCTGTGCTGTCTCCAGGTGGGCTTTTAATGCACTGTTGCCCATCCTAGCAATTCTCTGTCAAGCACACGGCATTCGAGTGACAGTCTCAGCCAGTTTCTCTGTTACTCTGTGCTAGAGAACTGCAATCCAAAGTCTCTGTGATAAAGTAAATGTAAGAAGTCATTTTATGTGCACTCTCTCCAACACTACAAGCATTTCAACACACTGAACCATTTCACTGCTGCGTTTTCATCTCCCTCATAACTAAACGTACAACTCAAAAGATTTACCTAGTTTAAGGTGCCTTCATTATAGCAGTTTTATTATGGAAACAATGCAACAGCGCAGTTAAAACTAAGTGGAAAAGCTGCACATTTCGCCTTTCAGCGCCCTGTAGCGTAAGGAGATTCTCCACGAAAACTGGCCGTGATTCCTGTGGCACCTACCAGCCCTGGCCTGCCGACAATACTACAGTTTTATTTGCGGTTTTGGAAACATTTATTCTATTTAATAGAGAACTGACTCCTCTGCCGTGGCCCTGTTTGCAGACACACGACATCCATCTTCGTTACCCCAGCAGGGTTTAATCCCAGGACGCACGGGTCACGGGCCAGAGGATTAGTGCCGTGTTCGCAATGGGAAATAAAGCCTGGGACACCTCTTAAGCAGCCGGCACGGGCAGCAGGACAGGAGAGAAGCGCTCCCGGCGCCACGGCAGCAGCCCCCGCCCCAACCCCTTCGCGGTTGCTCGGGCCTCGACCCCAGACCCGTCGGGGGCAGCCGGGGACAGCCGGCGGCAGCCAAGTCAGGCCCGGCCCGGCCCGGCCCGGCCCAACCCACCTGTCCGGGCTCCGCACGCAGGCGTTCCGCGGCGGCAGAGCCCCCGCACGGCCCCCGCGCTCCGCCCTTCCAGAACCTCCGCTTCAGGGGTGCCCACCGGCTGTCCGGAACCGGACGCGTGTCACCAATTTCCTGCCACGCCCAACATGGCGGTCCGCGGGCTCTCAGTGTCGGCGGCGTCCCGCTGGGAGACTGGAAAGCCCGGCGGACCAGAGAGGCGCCGCCGCGCACCCGCAGCCGTGGAGGCCGCCAGGCCCTGCCCCCGCGGGGTGGACGAGCCCAAGCTGGAGCTGAGCTCGTGGCTGGACGTGGGCAGCCATGAGGAGCGGAGCGGCTCCCGCCCGCTCTGGGAGCCCGGGCAGCCCTCGGCGGCGGCCGCGCTGCTGGAGCGGTGCCTGGCGGCGGGCACCGTGACCCAGGTACCACCCGGGGCCGAGGGGCTGCGCAAGCTGCTGGCAGCGGGGAAAAGCGCCACGAAATAATGCTTGTGTCCTATGGGTTGTTAGGGCGAAACGCACTGTATCGCGTAGCGCAGGAGAGCATCAATAACTTTAAGCCATTAAAAGCCGTTATTGAGAATGTGCCTGGTACGTTCTTGCTGCCGACTGTGTGTTTTCCCGCTGTTTTTCTTTCACAGGAGACATTGGATTTAACTCGCAGAGAAACGCCATGCTTTGTGAAATTCTCAGAGATGGAAAAAATGGCAAACATGCAAGCTGAAATCAATGAGGTACAGCCTTTAATGTTGTCAGTGTACACTTAACACTTCAGTACTTGGAGGTAATACAGAGCTCCCAATGAAGTATCAGGCTGCCATGTGCCATGTTTCGTGTTTTGAGGTTTTTTTAACCGAAAACCGAAAGTTTAACTAACTTTTTTAAAGTTCAGCTCTTTAACAGTTGACACTTTTTTTCTCAGTGGACTGAGTTGTTGTAATGGTAAGAACAAAACTATGAAACTGATGGTTTTGGTGTAAGTAGAAAGACTCAGAAAGCTGCACCTTTAACTGAAGTGTTACCTGAAGTTTTCTGAAGAAACTGAAAAGTAGGTAAAAATTTGTAGCTGACTTAAATTCACAGAAATGTATTTCTTTATAGGCAACTAGACCATTTTGTTGGTTTCCAAGAGGTAACCTGCCTGAATTGGCTGTTGGCTTGTATTTTATAATGTTGTTTTAGACACTGTATGGATTATGAAACTTGCTTTATAGGAGAGACATGGATTTGAAGGGTGATTAAGGAATTGGCTGGATGAACACAGCCAGTAAGTTGTGGTCAATGGCTCTATGTGCAGGTGAAGGCTTGTGACAAGTGGTGTCCCTCAAGGCTCTGTCTTGGGACTGGTGCTTTTTAATATGTTTATCAATGGCATAGACACTGAGATGGAGTGCACCCTCAGCAAGTTTGCAGGTGACACAAAGCTGAGCAGTGCAGTTGACACAACAGAAGGACAGGATATTATCCGGAGGGACCTGGACAGGCTTGAGAAGTGGGCCCATGGGAAGTCATCAAGTTCACCAGATCCAAGTGTAAGCTCCTGCACCTGGGTTGGGGCAATCCCAGACCTGAGTATGGACTGGGAGATGAGCTCATCACGAGCAGCCCTGCGGTGAAGGACTTGGGGTTTCTCGTGGATGAAGAGCTGGACATGAGCCAACAGTGTGGGCTCACAGCCCAGAAAGGCAACCTCATCCTGGGCTGCATCAAAAGCACCCAGGAGGTTGAGGGAGATGATTCTCCTTTTCTGCTCTGTCCTTGTGAGACCCCACCTGGTGTGCTGCATATAGGTCTGGGGTTATCAGCATAAGAAAGACAGTCCAGGGAAGGGCCATGAAGATGATCAGAGGGCTGGACCGCCTCTCCTGTAAAGACAGGCTGAGAGAGCTGGGGTTGTTTGGCAGCCTTCCAGTACTTAAAGGGGGCTTAAAAAAGAGGGAGAGTGACTTTTTACATGAGTAGATAGTGCTAGGACAAGGCAGAATGGCTTTAAACTAAGAGGAGAGTTTTAGATTTAAATATTAGGAAGAAATTCTTTACTGTGAGGATAGTGAGGCATTGGAACAGCTTGCCAAGAGAAGTTATGGATGCCCCATCCCTGGAAGTGTTTAAGGCCAGGTTGGATGGGGCTCTGAACAACTTGGTCTAGTGGGTGATATCCCTGCCCTTGGCAGGCATTTGGAACTAGATGACCTTCAAGGTGCCTTCCAACCCAAACTGTTCTATGAGTCTATCCTAAGTTTCTGTGTTTTAGGAATGAGTTACAGGATCTGTCTTTTCCAGCACAAATTACCAATAAGTTGCAAAATTATTTAAGTTGTTTTTTTAATACAGTTGTTTCCTATTGACCAACTACTACCACCCAGTAGTAGAAACACTTCAGAGGGCATGGGAACATGCTCTCACACAAATGCTCACTCTCTTTCACACATATGCTCTCATTTTTTCTCTTTCTACTTCCTCCTCCACCCCAAGAGAGTCAATAATATCTGGATAAGTATGTTTAAAATGAATTTTCATTTGATGTTATTGTTGTAGATAAAACTGAAAACTGAAATTATGCAGTTGGAGAATGAGACAGCAGACATTACTCACGTTTTTTACTTAGGTAAGTGCAGTTATACCAGAGAAAAACTAAGAGTCTTTAATTACTTAATCAGCAGATTAATATTTCATCTGAGTACATCACAATTCTAGAAGTTACTGCAGCAGTCATCTCTGGATAGTTTGTTAGAGGTGGTACAGGTTTTATTAGCACCTAAAGAATGTTTCCGTACTATTTGAACTTGCACTTTTTGCTGTCTCAGTAGAAGCTCTGTGTGTAACTCATTCTCCAAAAAAGTGTGAGGGTGTGCTCAGCTCCCCAGTGTCAGTGGAGCATGAGTTCTGAGATCATCAGTAACCCTTGGCCTGCATCTACTGCTCTACTTCTTTTCCAGAAACTCAGTGTATTTCTGTTGCATCTGTATGCCCCTAAAATTACTTGCATTTTTAATTTAGCAATTTGAGAGCATACATATTCATTTCTTTATTATTTCACACTTTTCACACTATGATTTTATGGATGTTTAAAAACATTCTAACTTGCTACTATTGTGCTAGGCTAATGAAATCTATTGTAATACTTCAGTGCTATGGTATAGTTCAAGAAATTGACTTCATCTCAGATAGAATTTATTTAAAACTGTAGATAATGTAAAACAATTAACACATCTGTATCTCTTTAAAGTAGGTATTGTTACTTTGAGGTGCATGCTGATACTAAATCATATACACTCCAACAAATGCTATTCTGACTAATGTTTCTCTTGAGTGTAATTGTCCAGTGCAATAGATCAGTGTTTTTTCTCTCTCTGTCTTTCTCCAGAAGAAATGTTGCTCTTGTTTTAGCAGGACAGTAGGTTCAACTTTGCAATTTTATTTCATAGGGAAAAAATATGAGATTTTGCAAGATATGAACAGTCACTTGGAAGCTGTACTGAAAGAGAAGAGGGCTCTCAGAAAGAGGTTGATAAAACCCAGATGTCAAGAGAGCCTGCCCATTGAAGCTACTTTCCACAAGTAGGCACACAGAAAATAATTGTTCTTGGTTTGCATGAGTCCAAATTAATTTGAACTAGTGGGCAGTAAAAATCACGTGCTTTCATTCATCTTTCCATTGCTAAGAATAGAAATAAAAATGGTAGCAAACCTCAGCTAAAAGCTGGTAGTTTACTCATTGATAAATTCACAGGAAGGTAGTGATACATATTTTTCTGAATATTTCCTTAGGTTACTGGTGTTGTTTTCAGAAGACTACAGAACAACTTGCAATGTATTGTTTTAAACAAATGTGCTAAATGCTTGATTCATTAAGCTTCTCCAGAGGAGGAATTGTTACTTTAGTGTTGAGTATCTTCCTTCCACTGTCACTTGCTCAGAATAAGTGTGAATGATTGCCAGACATACATAGTGCATGCTTTAAAAATATAGTCCTTTTTCTTATGGTCTAAAAATCTCACCCAGTTACTGAATAAGTGGATATTACTTCTGTAATTCCTGCCCTACTTGTTGCTGAGAGTCATAAAATAAGTGTAATTGCAGAAAAATTAATTAGATGGTTGGGAACGTGCATAAAACTGGAGAAGAGGACTAAGAAAATCAGGGCAAAGAAATAAGAACTTGTGAGTATTAAATTCAGATTGTTTAGCACAACTTTTGAGTAGAGGGCTCGTTCTTGGTTACAGGTGTATAGTAGAGTTGTTGACTGAGGCTGTGACTTTCACTGAGAAGCTTGAAAGCCATTTGCAGTCTGTGAGAAGCATCCCTCAGGTACCGAATATGATGAAGAATATGGTGAGTAGCAAAAGAACTGAGCCTGCTGTCTTGTCCAGCATTAAGAATGGAATGCTGTTTAATTGTTTAGGTTATTTTTATGTCCTGCTAGATTGACGGGATGTATAGAGATTAAATCCAACCCTTTTTTGCTTTAGGACACCGCTTTGACAAAAACAGAGGTGTTCGTGATGGAATTGGAGGAGCTGACAGAGCAAATACTGAAATGGAGAGAACTGCAAAAAGAAGTGTATTCTGACAGCATACGCAATCGTGCTGAATTGGACTTTGGCTTATATTTAACCTAACAAGTCATTTTCCTCAAATAGGATTTCTTCCTTCAAAGAACAACCTTTTTATGGTCTTCTGTGAAAACTGCAACACAGTTATGTTGTAATCCAGGAGAGACTTTGCAGGTAGTTGTATTTCTGTTATTAAGTAACAGTTCTCCAACTATTTACTGAAAAAAAGGATAGTGAGCAGTAGCTCACAGGAAGACAGGCTATTGAGAAGCCTGTTAAGGAATTACTTTTTGGAGTAGTTGGATAGGATTCCCTTGGAGGCTGTATCTTCAATGGAAATTTGTTTTGATAATTTCTTATGCATTTGCTCTAGTGTCTTTATTAATTTTTTTAAGAATCTTGATAAAACGTATTTTGTATGCCACTTTAAACTTTAATAAAAACACTAGATTTCAAGAACTCAGTTTCTTGCTTTTTATTTTGTTGCAAAATCCTATAAATTAAAATTACAGACCAAAGCTTATCCTTCCACAGGATTTCCAACCATGCAATTAAATTAGTTTCAAGTTACAGTTTATTTTTACTATTATGTGGTTTTGTGGGAAAGCGGGGAATGGACTTGATGATCTAAGACAGATCTACTGATTTGCAAACCATGCTTCAATGGTAGTGATAAATGTATTCTTCAGATCCTCTTTTTCTGTTGCCTGCCCTAATGTCAGTGTCCCCCTTAGAATAAAACTTTTGTTCCATGGCTAAGACCAACAGTTTATCAAAAGCATTGATTGTTCCAGTTTGTAACCTGACTTCTAGATCAGGAAAAGACTGGTTGGTAAAATGTCACTGGCAGGACATCTGTAAACCAGGATAGTTGGTTGTCTATGGAGGATGTCCAGTTTTGTATTCGGGATACAGAGCAGACTGGAAGTGGTGCGGATGTATTCCATTGTACTGTTGTTTCATTTATCTGAATTCTTCATACGTCCAGCCTGTTGATCTCTTGCTGAAATAGGAGCCCTTTGCTTTTTGAAAATAACCACTAGGTGGCTCAGCACCACAAATTTCACAAGTTTATCTGAGTATTGCATTTAAAAGTAGAATTAAGAAAGAAATCTTTGGCTCTTTGTTGAGCACACTCTATTATGACTTACTTGTAATTGGTCTATTTAATATTTGAAATTTTCTGAGAATCCCATTTTGATCTTTTGGACTACATCATTCTGCTGGGTGTGATGAGAAGGCATCCAACTTAACAATTCTCTAGCATACTATGTAAGTATAACTGACATTCCTCTCTGCTGCTGATGAGAAGTTAAGAGGATAGAAACAATTTTGATTAGGTCAAGGAGAATGTCACTAGATAGAATCTGAGAATATAAACTGGTGTGTGAGTCTCCACAGACTTTAGTGGGGTCTTTGTGTGAACACTTGCTATATATCATTGCAGAATTTGAGTACAAAGTCCCATGTCAACGTTGTTTCAGATGTGGAAACGAAGGTCTTCCACACAATTGCAGAGGAGCTGACATTTTTACTGAAAATGCTTTGCACATTCTGTGAAGTGGGAAGAAACAGAATCCAGACTTGTGGACTTCTTCAGGATGGGAGGTGGTCATAGGCTGGGCTCGATGATCTTAGAGGTCTTTTCTGTGTTTGTGTAAATCAGTGTCCTGTACCTCTATCACAGGCTTAGCCTCTCTCATTGTCTTACAGTGACGATTTGGGTCAGGCAAATTAAAGCTGTTGTAATTTAATAATTTTAGAGTACAGTGAAAACATTTTTAGTTAGTTTATTCATTATAATTTCTTGAAATACATGTTTTTGCCATATCCCAAAGAGTTAAGCATATTTTCTTTTCTTACTGTATCTGTTACTGAAGAGTTGATTGTGGAGTTGGTAGAGTTTAGCTAATTGCCATTTGCCATTGATGTACCAATTAATTCTTCAGTATGATTTAAAGGGATAAATCTATTGAAGTATACGGTGATTCACAGCTTGTAGATATTCATTTTAGCGTCTCTATGGTGAGTCATGAATGAAGTGTCAGGTCCAAAGGATCTATCCCATACTCACTCTGGAAGGTTTCTGAATTATGGTACCTTTTTCATTTAGATTTAACATTTCTGGAGCTTAAGGCAAATTGTCTCATGAAAATAACTATACTTAAAGTCCAAAAAAAAATAGTACAGTTGAAAGGCAATTCAAACAGAAGTTGTTTAAATGTAAAAACAATAGAGGACTGTAAAACACTCCTATATGATATTCAGATACAGCTCAGTTTATCATAATTGGAAATGCAAAACCAGAAAAAATGCATTTAAAACTGAGAAACAGAACTGGCAAATGGAATTGTCAAAACAGGAATTGCCTATCAAGCCTGGCATCTTCTTTATGCCAAAGCTACTTGCTCTCGCGTCTTCACGATAACATCAGTAGCTGATAGGGACAATATTCTAAAAAGAATGTTTTAAAAATCTTTCCGTGGTTCTTATATTACTCTAAACACAAACCTTTATATGCAACAGTTTGACATTGATTTCAATTATAGTTCTTAGGAAGTTTGGAAATTTTCTTTTACACCATAAGTACGACCCACATGAATATTGGAGGTTCTCAAAGGAGAAGCAAAAGAAATCTAAAGCACTTGAGACCTTTCCTTTAGCACTTATATGGAAGGGATACTTGTCTTGCCTAAATTCCTGTCAAATTAATGTGGAGTGCTTACAGTGCTGGTCCCTAGTGAGCACCTTCATGGCGGTACCCGTCTAATCGGACTGTCGGTATTGAACTCTGAGGTAAAGGCCGCGTTGTTTTGCTGTTGCAAATGAGAATTTGGGGAGGAACAGTGGTATCCCCGGGGATATAAAGTGTGAAATCATCGTCTCTTACTCTGGGGGTCCCACTCTCCCGGGCAGACCTGTTTCAGGCGGAAAAGTGGGGTTCGGGTGCTGAAGAGGGTGCCGTGCGGCTGCTCCGAGCAGACTTTTCTCGAAACGCCCCCTCTCCACTCGCGGAAGTTTTCCTTCCACCCGCTCCGCGGGGGCTGCCTGGGCCGGGCTCTCCCCTCCGGGGCGGGACGGGCGGCTCCGCTCCTCCCCGCTCCTCCCCATCCCGGGCGGAGGGCGGGATGAGGGGCCGGGGCGCGGGTGGCCGTGGCTGCGGGGCGTGAGCGGAGCCATGGCCAACGTCAAGGTGGCCGTGCGGGTCCGGCCTCTGAGCAAAAGGTGCGGCGGGGCGCAGCCGGGGGCGCGGGGAGGTCGCGGTCGCCGCGGCGGAGGGGCAGTACCGGGGCGGCTGCGAGGGGCGGCCGGTGCTGCCGGTCCCGTCAGCCGGGACGGGATCGCCGCCGTGAGGCGGCTTAGCCGGGGCTAAGGGAGGGACCGCAGGCGCTGGGGAACTTGGCGGTATGGCAGGAGGACTGGCAGGACGCCTCTCGCCGGCTCGCTAAATAGCTTGGGAAGTTTTCTTGGAAAAGTCACCCAGTGGAGCTGTTAGGGTGACTTCCCACTTCCTGAGCTCCCCAAAACAGGACAATTGTCATCCAGTGTCAGGGAATCTTCCCTTTCCCTTCTGTTGTTGCTGTTTTTTCCAGCGGGAGGCAGAGCCGGATATTCCCATTGTCGCTCAGCTCCGCTCCCTCCCCGGCTTGCTTGGCTCCAATAGAAATCCCAAAAGCTACATGATGCGGCTTGAAGGCAACTCCCACAAACAAGATGCCATAGGATCTGTTGTTGTTTGTATATAATACATACTTAAAACCGTGCAAACTTTGAAAATTTGGGGAGGAAAAGAAAGAGAAAAAGCAAGCAACCCAAATTTCAGCGGCTGGTAATTTACTCCTCCTGTTGGAGAAATGCTATAGCACTCCAGATAGGAATGGTTTCAGAAGTGGTACAAGCTCAGTAGTTTAGAGAGGAGGGTAGGATCAGAAAGGTGGGCAGCCTCCTGCACATGGCAGAAACTAATCTGATGCTGAAACAGAAATGCTTGTATGAAGGTGAGAGTGGAAACTCAGGGAGTAGTACAGGGAGAGACTGTTAAGTAATTCCATTGACTCAACTTGTGATGGTGTGACAAATGGGATATGGAGGGAGGCAGAGATGAGTCTTGTGTTATTTGACCCCAAAGGCAATAGGCCATTTGTTCCTTCTACTGTGCTTCCTCAACTGAGATCAGCAAAAGCATTTCAACATGGATTTTAGTATTTTATAAATGGAAAGGGGAAGTGGCTGGATATTCTCTGTGAAAGGTCTGACATGACAACTTGCTTTTTAGCCTTGAACAAAATTTTCCAAATGTAATGACTGTGAGGCAAATACCAAATATGTGAAGGCTTAAAGTAACCTTGATAGACATGGAAAGGACTAAAGTTCTCAGTGGGGTTAAAGGTCTACTCTTTTCCAGCTTCTTATACTTCTTCCATACTGTCATCACACAAACCTCTCACCATCACTGTATACACCCTCTGCGATTGACTCTGACAGGTACCTATGTTGCCTCAGCTCCTAGGATCTCTTAGGGGTTTTAAGACTTCCGGCAGAAAAGAATTCAGTTCAACTAGATTGAAGTACTGTAATATGTACAATCTCAATTCTAGCCAAAAATATTAAACTTGGCTTTTTAAGAGTGCCAAAAATTAAAATGCTGCAGTCAAAGGCTAGAACTCAAGGTTGGTTGTTTCTAGACTATCATGCAAACTTCCTCATTGCTTCTTTTCATTTAATTTACAACGGCACATGAACATTCATTTTGCTTCTTAAAATGTACTGAATATTCAGATATTAAAAGATGTTAGGGTTTAAAGTTTCTGTCTTTTATAAACTGTGTTCATTACATCTGAAACTTGTTATTTAGCATAAGGCAAAGAGTGGTCTTTTTGTTCTGTGTCTATATGACACCCATCACAATGCGTTCTTTGACAGACAGGTCCTATGCACAAATATACCCTAGTAGTTATAAAGCCAGTACAGTTACAGAAAATGCAGTTTTTCCTTTGCCTAAACTTTAAATAACTTTGCAGCCACTGTTCTTCATAATGCTATCAGTCATTCTGTAACAGACTAAATGATTTTTTAATCACCAAAATGTAGTTCTGGGAGTACATTCACTCAAATATATTCACTGGAGTAACATTGCTTTAAAAGTCTTTATTACACATTTACTATTCTACATACTAAAAAAGATTTGTTACTTTGTGGTTACGTGGATACTTGTTCTGTTAAAATACATTTCCCCTTCAGAATGAAATATGGAAGCCTGAAGGGGTGCTATAAATTGACTATAGCGATACGTAATAATTAGGATCTGGAAACTGATGAATCCATTAATGGTTTATTCCCAGATATCTTAATGCTTGGTCTATTGGATGTGAGACTTTTGTAAGGGAAGTGTAATGTTATTTTTGGCTATCAGTCAGAAGCTGTTGATGGAAACACTTTCAACGCTAGCATGTAAC